GGTGTAACCGCGAGAGAGATGAAATGGCGGTGTAACCGCGAGTGAGAAACATAAATATGTTTATGTTTCAGAACAGGTTTGATTCTAAACTGATTGTTTGGGATGTATATTGTTTGTATGAGATTTATACACTCACTAGACCTTTTGGTCTAATGCTCAGTTGTTGGACTAACCTGTTTTGCAGGTCAGCGTACTTTGCAAGATAAGGGCAAAGGAAAAGTATAAATGATGTTAATAGTTTGTTCATATATGTATTAAGGATACATTTTGTTAGTCCATGTTTTGTAATAATACTGTTTTTAGTATTATGAGTATGTTGATGTGAATTATATGTATATGGGATTATGAGGGTTGTTACAGTTGGTATCAGAGCCTTAGTTTAAGGGATCTGGGTATTTGCGAAATACTTAGACTTAAACTAGAGGTGTGGAAAGTTATGATAATAGGTTTCACTGGATCTATGAACATGAGAATATGTTATAGCTGAACCTATTATGAGAAAAATAGATTATATGTGATTGATATAATCTGAGTTATGAGTAAACATGAGGATAAATGTGTTATTATGCTGTGATTATGAGAATAATCATGTGTGTTTAAATGTGACAGAAAAGAATATATACTGAGAAATGGCAGATAATCCCAATCAATCGGAAAGAACCTCTACTGGTTATGGAAGAGGTCGGGGAAGAAGAAATGTAACACAAGGAGAGGATCCAGAAAATGTAATAAAACACGAAGTCGTAGCAGGGGACGAGGAAGAAATAGAGGTACTAGACAAGAAACTTATGGGGAACATGAATTGTCGGCCCAAGAAAGTTCAATATCTAGCCGTGGTCGAGGAAGAGTAAGGGGTGGACATAATGTTTCTGACCCCGAGTATATTACTCAAGATATGTTGGCAGCAGAGCTGGGAAAGTTTCAGGAAARTTTRGTRMATTTGTTAAGGCGTACAAACCAAACTAATCCAAATGTGGTAAGAAATTCCGATCAGGAGGAAGCTGGAGCTAGTACACCGGTAACTGGTACATCTGTACCCCTCACTTTGTCCTCAGTGCAAAAGGGAGGARATATCAAGATGTTTCTTGCTTGTAAACCTCCTAAGTTTTCTGGTGAACGTGATTCTGTTAAAGCTATGTGTTGGCTTAAGGAGATAGAGCTGAGTCTGCAAATTAGTAAAAGTGCAGAAGAAGACAAAGTTATGTTTGCTGTATCTCGTTTGAGATCAAGTGCTTTGTACTGGTGGGAAGTCYTKTCCARTTCRGATCCDAACATTCTGAAAACCATGTTATGGGAAGAATTTGTGGTTAAATTTAAAATGCAGTATTGTCCTGAAGTTGCAGTAAGAAAGTTGGAAGATGATTTCCTTCGTCTTGAGCAAGGAAACATGTCAGTCCGCTAGTATACAGAAGTTTTCATGGAACAATCTAGGTTTACTGAAGCCTATATTATATCTGAAAACATTAAAGTGAGAAAGTATATATGGGGATTGGAATCGAATCTTCGGAAGTATGTGATATCCAGGAATCCGACAACATTTCAAGCGGCAGTTGATGCTGCTGAAATATTGGAACAAGATATTAACCKGCAACCGCAAGAAAGGGTTGGAGAGAAAAGAAAAGGGAAAACTACAGTAACTGATTTCCGTAGACCGAAGTTTATGGAAAATGTGAATCGACCAATCTCAAGGTTTGTGGATAAAGCATGTAATTGATGTCATAAAATACATCAGGAAAATTGCAATACAGAATCTCGAGTATGCTTTAAATGTCAGGAAGCTGTTCATATAGCTCGAGACTGTCGGATGACGCGGAGATGTTTTACTTGTAATTCATCTCAACATATAA